CCTCCCCCCTAAGGCAATCCTTGTTGAGCAGAAGCACCAGAATGAGGAGGACAGAGGATCGCACACACACATGACCATGTGGTTGAGATCCGCACATTGTCGGAAAGGGCGGGGAGGTAGGTCCGGTAACCCCAAGCCGCAATTTTTTTTTTTTAACAATGCACCCGTCGGTGCTAGTGGTCCAAGCCGCGAAAATTAGCGACTCGCGATTAGTAAATCAGTGAAGGGTCACAATTAGCAAATCCCAGAGGAGAAAAGCCCCACAATTAGCAAATCCCAGATCACCATCTGGTATCTGGTTAGTGATGTCTGCTGGAGGTGGAGGATGTATCTTTGGAAAGCGAAGCATGTTGAAGCCAACAAAAATAGTGAGAGAAAGAGCACTCAGTGAAGGATGTCAAGAAAGGCGAAGAAGACAAGGACAGAACTTCCGGCATCGCTCTTCTCCTCGTCATTACTCTTCTCCTCATCTTTGTACGCAGTGAGATGCTGGGATCGGGACCACGTATCCGGTCAATTTCTAAGCTGGAGGCTCCGATGATTTTGAATCAATTGTTCGGCACGAATATGAGTACCACTGGATTGGAACTGGGGAAGTGTAGTACGGAAATTACCTCCACCGCGTGTGTTAAACAGCACATCAAAGACCGATATTTGTACCGCACAATCTATCAATTTCTCCGCTCATAGGGCATATTTATCAGGCCTTGAAAGCGGTTTGTGGAATGGATAAGCAGGTGTTTTCTTTATGAAAAAAAAAAAATGAAAAAGAAGAAGAAGAAGAAGAAGACGACGACGACGACGACGACGACGACGAAGAAGAAGAAGAAGAAGGGTGTATTAAACTGTATTTAGGATTGAGGGAATGGCAGATATCGGCGTCATATCGCTACCTGAGAAGTGAGGCAGAAGGGTAGTGTGGTGTGGAGCCATGTGCCATGGGTACTTTGTGTTTACTGTGATATGTAATTGCCTCGCACGGATTATTCCTTAACTTTGTGCTATTGTTATCTTCTCCTCATCAACATCCTCATCATCTTCGATTCTTATCCTCAATATCATCCTCATCATCCTCATGCTCCGCCTCAATATTGCCATGATGATGACGATCATCATCACCTCCGTCAACCACCACCACCATCCATCTCCATCATCACTGTCATCATCATCGACTCCACGGCTCAGTCATTGGTTCTCTTCGCACCATATTTCAAAGGTGGCGCGGCTGAGGGGACTCCGGGGAGTGACATTGATCCTCCTTCGCAATGGCCTCCTAGGGGGAGTGACGTCAGCATCTCTCCCTAGTGGACCTGGCCATGGTCGCTTCGGTCTATTGGTGGGGAGCAGCACCCACTGCCAACCGCGACTATCGCCCCAGATACATGCCATGGTTGCTCCTTATCTCCGGAGTCCGGAACCATCTACGAGTGCCAGACCTCAATCCTGGGGGTGCTCTTAAACCACCAGTACCTACCGGTTGGGGCGGCCGTTAACGCGGAAGCGGAATCGGCCTGCCACTCCGGTCCAAATGAGTTTGAGGCCGGGCGGTACGAAAAATGCGGTAGGTACTGGTGGTTTAACATCACCCGAGCCGCGGAAATTTCGGAGTGGACAACTCGCGATTTTTTTGCAAGGCTGGGGCCATGCACTGCTAGCTCGGAGCTCCAAACCACCAGTGCAGAAGATGGGCCCAGGCAAGTGGAGAACTGTTTTGAGGCTCTCCGGAAATTTAGGAGGCCGAGAGCCGGAGTAGATAAAAGGAATCGGCGGTGGGAGGCCTCCGAAAAAAAAGGGGCCCACGGCCGATAACTGGCATGTACTGGTGCTTTAAGACCCATATCTGTCTGACCCACAGTGAGTTTTTTTTTTTTTTTTTAAGCTCCATCTATTGGTGGGGAGCCTGATGCACAGTGACTGATGGCTCTTCTCTCGCGATGCAACAGGTAGGAGTCGAATGTTTGCCCTCCCTGTGCACAGGGCCGATCCCGTTCTCCCTCGAACCCCTCACAACCCTTTGACGGTTGGACCCCCCTTAGCAACAAAGGGGGCAAGCAGCACAAAATGCTATACATATTACGTACTTACATAATACATAGTTATAACCGCTCAACTCCTTTTATAAAAACACTCACCTCTCTCGCGATGGCGATGGCAGTGCCCCAGTTATCTCCTGTTAGCATAGTGCTTCGGATCTTCATGTCTTTCAAAACTCTGACAACCCTCGAAGCCTCCAGTTTAATGGGGTCTGCAATGGCCATGGCCCCAACAAGTGCCCCTCCCACAGATACTAGCACGACAGTTCGCGCATGTTCCTCCTGGTCCTGAAGGTGGTCCTGTGCCTCCGCAGGAATACTCACGCCTTTTTCCGACATCAACTTCTTGTTGCCAATCAACACTTCCTGCTGGTTTATCTGACACCTCACTCCTTTTCCAGGAATGCCCTCAAAATCTGTCGCCACTGGCGAAAGCGCCCAACCACTTGCAGGAACACCACCACTCCTGCCAAGGCCAACAACAACAGTTGCACCCTCCTGCTCCTGATCCTTGTCCTTTACCTTATCCATATCTCTGGTCAGATGCAAAGAATCTGCCGGTGCTGATTCTGCCGACACACGAGAAGAAGGAAAGCCTGCAGCCGGCAAAGATCGACTAGTTTCCGTAGGTACAACTGCAGCCATGATACCTACGGAAGGTCTTCTTCCACTGCTGCTACCTGCGGAAGGTTCCGGATCTTTCTGAGACGTGCAGCAGCTGCCCGCCATTTTCGCTGGTGCATCCATTAACACTGGGCTTGCTTGCGTGTGCTCGCCAACTGCAACAGAAGTTATGGGTTTTGTCTGATCACCTGCCAAAGCCACCTCTCTCGAATCCGCGCACCAAACGGACCTTGGTGGTTTTGAGGACCCCTTATACCACCTGCCCCTTTCTGGGTTATGTACTGGCACCCCTAGGGTTACCCACATTTGCTTGCCAAATGCACCACAAGGGGAGCACCCCATTCTCGTAGCCCCCAACGGCGCCACCCCCTTCGGAAACCCCCTTCCAACAGACCCCGACTTACAGCCCGCGCTAGTAGAGATGCCCGCAGGTGAGGCCGTCCTCCAACAGCTGTCAGGTACCGCGGCAGCTTCCTTCGTCCCGTCTTGGCAACAACTCTTCGCTTCACGTACAGGAGCCATCGCCAAAGTATCGCCTATGTCGATCACAGTGTCCCGGACCTTAGGAGGCTCCTTAACGTACGCATCCCTTAGGAGCGCATTCCATCGTGCAATCTCCAAAGGAGACGCAGCTCTGACACCGCTGTGAGTGTCGACTCCGCGGACCTGCCTTTCATTCTGAGAGTCCTTCTCCATGCGCGAGAGTGATGAAAGACTAGCTTCCTTTGCCGATCTCATGGCTGCAAACCGGGCTAGATGCGGCGGCTTCTTGTGGGTATCGACACCAAGATCACCTTCTCCCAACTTCATCATTTTAGATTTAATATCCAGCAAGGCCTTCGCATGGTCAACAAGGCACTTGCCTATCACGTGCTCGCTGTTTTCCTGGCAACGTCAACAAAAAAATTCACGCATGCAGTGCCATGGACCACAGTCATAACAGCAGGGTTAAGTTTCAGAGCTGGAGGACAGACATCTCCTTCTTCTTCTTCTTCTTCTTCTTCTTCTTTTTTTTTTTGTCATTATCAGTATGCTTTTTAAATCTAATAAATAAAAAAAACTATTAGAGGGCCATGCAATCAATCCAGGAGTGATAAAGAGCATCGACAAGGGCGAGGTCCCACTAGCACAGAGGAATGGATTAAGCACCTGAATCTGGATGCGTTTTTTTCGCAGAGATGCACAAAAGAAGATCAATGGCCATGTTCTACACCTCTCCACAAACACGTCCAGATTCAGGCGTTAAATAAATCCAATCCCCTCTGATAGAGGGACCTGGCCCAGTTGGAACAGACAGCTTGAATGCCCTGCAGGAAAGACTGCAGATTGACAACAGCGCGGTAGCTCAGTGGTTTTAAATTGAAAAAAAAAAAAAAAAAAAAAAAACCTTAGAGGTTGTGGGTTCGATTCCCGTCGCCCCTCGCCTCTTGTGTGCACACTTGGTTGGCGTTACATACACCCCATGTACTAAGCGCCCCAACCAAGCGCAGCAGATAGAACCTCAGGAAAGGGGTTTGGGGAGCACTGCCTGATGGGCTATTATCACTGAGATGAGAATTTGACGGCTTAGGGGGGAAGGAGCAGATCGGAGGCTTGGAGGCAAATACTGGTCTAGCCTGAGGGCTTCTGAGGGTTCTCTTACCACCGCCAGGACAGAGGGATATCAAAAGCGCTATTTTCCCAAAAAAAAAAAAAAAAAAAAAAAAAAAAACGGATTCGGCTGGGTGGAGAAGGAGAGTGTCCTACTCTGGGGTGAGCAGGGTAATGGCAAGGAGATACTTAGGAGGGAACCGCTTGGGGAGCACTGCTCTACAGGGCATCGTCATGGAGGGAGGGGAATGTTTGGGGGGGGGCGCAGTGGCAGATTAGGGTTATGTCCTTCTCTGGGTCTTGGTTTGGCAGGGTAGCGACTAGGGGTTATGGAGAGGGCTTCGTCCACCCTAGGGGGAGCACTACTCTGTGAAGGCACCATCGTGGAGGGCAGTGGGGAGTATGCGGATTAAACCACCAGTACCTTTCCCATATATCAACCGCCGGGAAAAATAGAGTAGACCATTAGAGTAGAAGTGTTTCTGGTCGGTTATGTATTTGGTCGCTCCCTTAGTGACCCGTTCATTCATGATTGTCACGACTTTCGGAGGTGCTGGTGGCTTAAGGTGGCCTACCCTCTGGGTCCTGAGTGGCAGGGTATTGTCACAGGGCTTTTTTTTTTTTTTTTTTTTTTTTTTTTTTTTTTTTTTTTTTTTTTTTTTTTTTTTTTTTTT